CCCTTATCTGGCCTTTGCAAATGGATGCACTTACAAATGTACAGGCAAAAGATGGCTCAGTGGTTAAGAGCACTGACTGTTCTTGCAGAAGATTCAAGTTCAAATCCCAGCACCCACATGGTGGCTAACAACTGTTCATAACTCCAGTTCCAGGGGATCTGACACACACTTCTATCCTCGGTGGGCACTTACACACATGCAGGCATAACACTCATGCACATTAAAAAAATAAAATAAAACACAACAACAAAAAAGGCCATGCACATAAAAAAAAAAAGATAGCTGTCTTTTAATCCTTCTCTGGGAAGAAAAAAAGGCTATTTTAAAATTTGAGAGCTCTCAGAACATAAGTATAAATAGGAAACATGTAAGGAAGTCAAATCTCATGCAAAGTGAAAGAGGGGATAAGGAAAATGAGGGACAAACCAATAATCCTGAAACATCTAAATGAAATTCAAACATGCTCAAGTAACAGGAAAAAAAGTCTTTATAATACGCTGCTGCAAAATGAGCTAGAAAACATTTAGGGAATGATACAAATTGCTAAAGAAAAATGTAAAAATCATTAGGAAAACTCAGAAATGAGGTGACATAACTCAAGTAAGAATTAGAAATAAAAGAAGCATATTTTAGAAGTGAAGGCTAAGGGGCCACAAGAGTGAATCAAAACAAGTAATATCCAAAGTAAACACAGGGCAAAGTGAACAGTTTTATTTAGATGAAAAATATAAAAAAGGATTTGAGATAAATTGACAAGTATTGAAAGCAGGAGAAGAAGAGAAGTCATTATTGTCTGGAATATTGACCCCAAATGAACAATACCAAAAAAACAGGTCAGGAAAATTATTGCACTTTAAAGAAAAAGAAAGAAAACTCGTGTGCACATCTCAGCAAATATGCTACTGCGTTAGGAAAACAAAATTAGACCCTCATTAGTCTCTTCTACAGTAACACTGGTAACCGGACAATGGAAGAGGTGTTTTTGGCTGTTAAGGAAGCTGTGGCCACAGGGTATTAATCAGCAAAACTTCCCCAAGGACAAAAGGGCTGATCCGCTATCAGCATTCAGTAGCTGCATTAACACTACTCCTGCTTGCACTTGTAAGATATTTTACTAGAAAATGAGCCAGCAAGCCCCAACCCTAGCCAAGGAACTAATTATTGGAAAATGATTACTGTGGGGTGAGGGAGAGTAAATCTACTTTAAGGGAGTGACTCTAGATTGGCTGACTAGACTTCCAGCGGATGAACTTGCACTGAGGGGCATCAGATACAAATGCTGGACTGGATGGGACTTAACACATAAAACAGAATACCTGAAATCTGGTAAGAGGGGACTATGGTGGGCAGGGACGGGATGGCGTTGGGGGGGGGCGTCTAAATTTGATTAAGATGTATGTGCTGGATAGCTTTAGTGTCAACTTGACACACCTGGGTTGAGGGAGCCTCAATTGGGGAATTTCCTCTATTGGACTGGCCTGTGGCCATGTCTGAGGGGCATCTTCTTGATGAGTGATGTGGGAGGGCCCAGCCCACTGTGGGTGGTGCCACCCCTGGGCAGGTGGGCCTGTGTTGCATAAGAAAGCAGGCTGAGCAGGGGCTGGAGGAGCAAGCCAGTAAGCAGTGTTCCTCCGTGGCCTGTGCTCCAGTTCCTGCTTCCAGGTTCCTGCCCTGAGTTCCTACCTTGGGCTCCCTGATGAACTGCGACCTGGGAGATGTAAGACAAACAAACCCTTTCCTCCCCAAGTTGGTATTGGTCAGAGTATTTTGTCACAGCAGTGAAGAACAAACTAGAACAATGTATTATTTGAAATGCACGAAAACTCAAAAAATTGGAGGAAAAAAAAAAAAGAAAGAAAATGAGCCTCCTACCAACAAGCTGCCTAGAGAGACACTGGGGTAAGAACTCTTGGTGGACACAGAAATATAGTTGCTTTGGGGACTGGAGAGATGGCTCAGTGGTTTAGAACACTTGCTGTTCTTTCAGAGGACCTGGGTTTGACTCCCAACACCCACATGAGAGCTAACAACTGCCTGTAACTCCAGTTCCAGGGGATCTGACACCCTCTTCTGGTTTCTGTGAACATTGCATGACATGAGTGCACTTACATACATGCTGACAAAACACTTATACACATAAAATAAAAATAAGAAATAAAATACTTAAAAAAAGAAAGGTAGCTGCTTTCATAATCAAGATCAAAGAGAATGAGAAGGAAAATGACAGGATAGGTGGTGAATAAAATGCTGATGTAGACTCCAAATGACAACCAAAAGCAGATGCTGGACACAGAATTATTTTACTACTTGTAAGGTTAGTGATTGTGTTTTTGTATTAATAGTGTAAGACTTGGTTTTGTAGTATAAGAAAAATCAAATGATTAATTTATGAGTCAATTCTTTCAGACTGTGTCCCCTTCTACCTCTGCCCATAGAAAAAAAATCCTAGGAATAGAAACCAAATTGGCAAATCCAACATCCTTATTTCTCAGATATGAGTTTTCAAATACAATTTATTATTAATATGAACAAAGAAGGATTCATGAAGGAATGATTGATTATAGATCTGAGGCAAGTTGGATCAGGCAAGCCTGGCTTACTAGCAAGTACCTTATTTATTATCACCAAGAGTCATATTCAAAGAATTGAAAGAAGCAATGTACAAAACTTATATGACAGGACAATTATCACTTCAGTCAAGGACTACAAAATGTAATGACTTAAAACTCATAAAATATGAATACATTCATGAATTCGTAATACTAAAAATAAAAAGTAATTGGCTATGCTTTAATAATAGGGAACTAATTCATAGTCTTAAAAATTTTGAACTGCATAACAGAATAGCAGATGGAGGGAAATACCTATTTATGGAATAACATCACATAATAAATGGAAATGGGAAGATAGCATCACAGTATCACTACTTCTGCATCCTCTGTTGGTAGTCAGCCAGTATCAAAGCTGTTAGCATCAGAAGAGGAAGAAGCAAATATTATGTATCTCGCCGTCAAAGAGCATGGTGCTGTTCATATCTTGTCAGGGACCCTCCCACCCCTGAATCTGGTTAAGCTTCTCTATCCAGTTGCTAATTTGCAGCTAAGGACTATTGATTTGCACCTAAATATATGATCACTCAAACCCAAAATATAAGATGCTATTGATTAAATGGTCTGCTTTTCTTTAGGGGGGGGGTCTTTTTGAGACAGGGTCTCCTGTAGCCCCAGATGTCCTGGAACTCACTATGTAGACCAGGCTGGCCTTGAACTCACAGAGATCCTCCTGCTTCTGCCTCCCAAGTGCTGGGATTAAAGGCGTGAGCCACCATGCCCGGCCCAATGGTCTGCATTTTGTAAGAATTAAAAATATAAAAAACAAGAACTGGAAAGCAATGGAGGGCAATCTTGTATATTAAAACCAAGTTGAAAGACATGCAGATTTTAAAAATTAGGCATATAAGGAAGTCTATTTAAATAAAGTCTTCAAATAATACAAGGAAAGAATGGTTCCATGAATTACTGTTTGAGGGAGGCACTATAATTGTGACAAGGAATATGCAAAGCCTCTGGATATGCCTGGAAAAGTGTTCTGTTTTATAAAGATTCAGTAAGATATTTCATATACTTGTATAATATTCCATGTATTTGCATGATTTTTCATGTCTTATATTTTATTTTGCAATTAAAAGGTAAAAAAAAATACTATTTAGTAGGAGTTAAGGAAGTGGATCACTAAATATCTAGAACAGTCCAGTGGTGTTAAAAGGCGCGGTTGCATTACCAGCCATTTGCCTATCACTTTCACTTATGTTGCTGTCCTGGAGAGGCGGATGGTTATTTCCAGTCCAGTGTCTTCAATGCATGACATATCCTGTGGTCCCAAAAAAGGCTAGGATACCATTTTAGTGTGGATATTTATTCCTTTGTTTGAAAGCATACTTTGGTGATATTTTTCAAGAGCAACAAGTTTTAGGAGCAACATCAAGGCAAAAAGTTTGCAAGCCGCTTATAGGCCCTGGGTTCTGTCTTAACAACTTTCAATAAAAAGATGGAGGAATGTGTTTACCATGCAGGAAGGCATAAAATACAGTTGCAAATTGGGATGAATTTTCTCTTTCCATACAAGTTAAATTGCATTGACATGTTCCCTAATTCTTTAAAAAATTTTTTTATTGAGTTTTTGTACATTTCATACAACAGTTCTTAAATTCAGACCCCCTACCCCATCCATGCCATCAGACCTCATGTATTCCACCATATGTTAAGGTATATCTCTTCAGCATCTGTTATCTGTGAATTTTAATTCACATGAGATGAAGAGAATCTCAAGTTATGAGGAGTACAATCACGTTCCTGAGATCCACACATTTAGAGGGTCTTAAGCACAGTTCAGTTTATAAATTGACACATAGTGTTGTTGTGCTAGCTCTATTTCTGTGATTCCCTGTAATAAATAATAGAATAATAATATTATGACAGCAACGATCATGAAAAGAGAATAAAAATCAGAGACATTAGCCATTGCCAGTGTTTCTAAAGATAAAGGATAAGCACATGCTTGTGTAGACCACCCATTGTCATGACCGTTTCACTTGAGTTCTGTGGACTGCAGCACCATAGTTGTTTCTAGGAACTGCCAGAGATTTTGAATATGGTTGCTGTTATTTATTTTACCATGGCATATAATCAGCAAGATTTATGGGCGGAGCCTGCTCTGAAACATGCCTTATTTTGCTTCCACACTCCAGAGTCATACATAGCAAATGCCTGTGGAATCTGATGTAAACAATGGTTGGCTTTGGTCAGTGACTATGTGACTGATTATAGGGGATCACTTATGTGGCTACTGGGGATACACGATAAAATTCAGCTTGTAATAACTGATACTGTCTTCCTGAAATCCAATATTCTGGAAGCTTAAATTAGAGTCCTTGGTCAAGGAGTCGAATCTTCTTGACTTAGGTTGATATCGCTGTGTCCTCCTTCTCTCTTTACTCCCAGAATGCAGTCCCACGAGTACCAGCAGCAGCGTCGAAAATTTGCAGCTGCGTTCTTGGCCTTCATTTTCATCCTGGCAGCTGTGGACATGGCTGAGGCAGGGAAGAAGGAGAAGCCAGGTAAGCAGCTACAGAGAGGCACCTGTCTAGTCCAGCTACCTACTTCTAGTCCCCCTTCCCTTTCTTCCTCCTTTTGAATTATTCAGAGGAACATAAGTGATACTTCTCTTATGTCTCCACCATTACAAGTGGTGGAGTTTGCTTTACAGAGTCATAAGTAGGCACTGACACTGGGAGCCTGTTCAGTCTATGACCCACCATATTTCTGTTATGCCATTCTATCTGTAACACAAGAAAAAGGACTATCGATTTGCATTGAAATAGCTAGTCTGATATATTTTCACCTCATTTTTCAAGTTTTATTATTATTATCATTGTTATTACACAATTTCTGCTTTTATGTAAACATTTGACCAGGTGTGGGTAACACATTCCTTTAATCCCAGTGCTGGAGAGGCAGAGGCACGTGGATCTCTGTGAGATCAAGGCCAGACTGATCTACATAGAGAGTTCCAGCTGTGGCTACAGGGAGTCTCAACAAACATACAACAACATAACAAAAAACCCCAAAAATACTTGTTTCTGAAAGGAGATGGTAGGTATGTAAGTGACTTAGAACTGTCTCCATCACATGCAGGATTTAATATTAGTTCTATCTCCTCCTTGAGTTTTCTTCTCTCTTCTCTCGATCATTCATTGATTGATCATGTGGAAACATCAGTCATGTTCCTACTGTTTACAGGACAATGCAAATAGAGACAAAAGCATAGACTCCATGACTGAGGCACTGAGGACTGAACTTAACACACCTAGGTGTTAAGGACATGTATGAATGCTGATTACTTTTGATTCCTTCCTTACAGAGAAAAAGGTGAAGAAGTCCGACTGTGGAGAATGGCAGTGGAGCGTGTGTGTACCCACCAGCGGGGACTGTGGGCTGGGCACCCGGGAGGGCACTCGCACTGGTGCAGAGTGCAAGCAAACGATGAAGACCCAGAGATGCAAGATCCCGTGCAACTGGAAGAAGCAGTTTGGAGGTCGGTCTCACCCCGTGTTCCTTTGCATTGATCCTTGACTACCAAATCATTCTGGAATATTTCTAGCAACTTTTTCTGAGGCCAAGTTTGGTCATTTCAAAGTCTATTTCTTAAAAACAAGGTGGCCGGACAGCATACCTGTCCACTGAGGATGGGGTAATTTTTTGTCTTGTGCAACAATTTTTTGTAGTGTCTGCTCAGGGGTTTGAAGTAGCACAACCCATCGCACCAGCTATGAAAAGTGGACTGAATGTCCTTTAGCAGTCAAAATCACTCCTAGTTGAGAGTCAATGCTCAGTAGGGCCACAAAATTTTCCCTAGACCCCTTCCAATAATGTTTCTTGCTCCAGCTCTATTTCCCTTCTAGTTCAGCTGCTTTTATTTTCTTTTGCTTTTTTTCCTTCTTCTCTACATCACTTGCTGTTAACTTTCTCTCTTCTGATCCCTTCCCATCCTCCACATAGGCTTATAAATTCACTCCCTGACTCCAACAGGCATGGTCAGAGCCAGTGTTCATAGACTTTTCACTTGCTAACTACGATCAGGTTCATGCTGGCTTGATCTGTCTACTTGAATGAGACAGGCTCTTTTACCACTTTCAACCTGAACCCAGCATTCAACACTTCCAATTTTTACTCAATACTCAATACTCCCAACTTCAACCATATATAACTATATATACAGTCATACAGCTATGTATGCATAAATGCATATGCTGAATGTATATTGTGTAATGCGCATGCATGTTTTTGGGCTCATGTGTATGTAGGTCCATAAGTGTGTAAGTTTGCATGTGGAGGCTAGAGGTTGAAGTTGGGTGTTTTCCTCAGTCACTCTCCATTTTGTTTGCTGAGTCAGGGTCTCTCACTGACCTGGAACTCTGTGATTCTGGTAGTTGAGCTAGCCCACTTTCCTCAGGGAGCCCCTATCTCTTTAGTGCTGGGATTGCATGTAGACTACCACAACAATCCAGCTTTTTATGTGGGCACTGAGGATCTAAACTCTGGGCCTCGTGCTTATGTGACAGATACTTTTTATCCACTTAGTCATTTCCCTGGCTACATTAATGCAATATTAAACTCCAACTGGCATGTTTCTTATATATCACAGACTTCTTGTTTTTCTTGGCTGTGGTGGGACCTAATGAACATAATGTCTCACCTGTATTATATAGACAGACACTATGACCAACACCTAAGTGAAGATGTAGAGTGAATATGCAGACATGTATCTTTGATTCTCCTTGTAACCTCTGGGGTGCATTTTTATGAGTGATAATGAAAATTATAAAGGCACAGTAGAATTTACATATATTAGACCTTAAATTGCATTGGGGGCACTGTTAAGATTCCCATAAAAGATTTGTAAGATATTTCTTAAAGAAATCATGTCTAGAGCATATATATAATTCTCAAAAATCAACATAAAATCAAAGAAAACAAACAACCTTAGCTATTCAGTGAAGTCGGTAAAGGATACTAGCAGATCTTTTTTTCTGAAGAGAACATGTAGTAGTGACTAAGCCACTGAAAGGATGCTCAACTTTTCTTCACCAGGGAAACAGAAATTAAAACCATGATGACCCATTACTATAAACCTCTCAGAATGGTTAGAATAAAACTATTATGACACCAAACCAGTGAAGAGGCAGAGAAACTAACTCATGCATCTATCGTCAGTGGAGACTGAGTTGCGTTTAGAATGCAACCCAGTGGATTCTTGGGCATTTATCCCAGAGCACATAAAAATTTATGTTTCTACAAAATGCTCTGTTTGAATTTATAGCATTTTTATTTCTTGTAGCCCAAAAGTAGGAGAAATCAAGGTGCCCTTCAACTGCTGAATGAATAAATAATCTGTGGTATACTCATACAGTGGAATGTGCAAAAGCATTGACTATTGATATACACAACTTGAGTTGGTTTCCAGAAAATTATATTAAATAAACAAGGAAATAGCCAATCCAAAAAGTTTCTGTAGTGTTTAATTTCATTTATGTAGCATTTTAAAAATGCCAGAATGAGGTAGAGAAGAGATTTGTGGTTGTTGGAAGGGAAGAGGTGAGAAGGCTGAATCTATTTAATGTGGCATGTGGGCTCCTTATGCTGAATTGTTCTATATATTAGTGGTGCTGATCACATGTATCCACACCTGTAAAAGCTGCCTATGCACACTAATGCATGATTGAGTGCATGTAACACTAATGAAATCTGATTATACTCTTAGAGCGTATGAATGTTCATTTCATGGTTGACTACAGTTATGCAGGATTCCACACCTAGGGAGCAATAGGTGAAGAGTATATGGGATCTCTCTGTTATTTCTTATAACTGTATGTGCAGTGATCTAAATTAAAAAGTTACAATCAAAATTGTACCTGCACCACAGTAAGCTCTCTCAAGGACTTCTGTTTGATGGATTCCATTCTGCCCTTTAGCTGAGTGCAAATACCAGTTCCAGGCTTGGGGAGAATGTGACCTGAATACTGCATTGAAGACCAGGACTGGAAGTCTGAAGCGAGCTCTTCACAATGCCGACTGTCAGAAGACAGTCACCATCTCCAAGCCCTGTGGTAAACTGACCAAGCCCAAGCCTCAAGGTAAGAACCTGCCACTTTCCCAGTTTTGATAGTTTGGGAGATTTAGGAAAGATCTTCGTATATGAAAACTCATACATTCTAGCAGACAATGTTAGTTGAATTATTTTAAGACAGTGATTGAAAATGAATATGTGTTAAGCACCACAAAATACTTTCAACAGCAGCCTCTGAGTTCAAGTTGCAGGTTGAAGTCCTCTGCACAACCTTGGGGTATAGGAGGGCCTTGAAATCAAGAAAGCATCTTAGCCAAACATATCGATTAAGATGGTTGTTGCAAGCCTGGTGTGATTATCCTGACCTTTAATTCCAGAACTTGGGAAACAGAGGCAGCCAGATTTCTATGAGACTGGGGCCAGCCTGGTCTACATGGTGAGTGCCAGACTGGTTGGGGTACAGGGAGACCCTATGTCAAAAAACAAAATAAAACAAAAAGATCATTGTTGTATGTCTAACATTTATCTGACACTCCAACCTGGAACTAGATCCTGACAAGAAAAATAAACCTAAGTTCATAATACAGAAAATTTTAAATCAGACTCTCCCAGATTATCCAAAATACAATTTTCACGGTCAGAAAAATGATTTTACATTTTCTCTTCCTGAAATATATAAGATTGTAAGTTTTATATTTCTTATACTTATATTAGAGCCTTTTCATATTTTGAGGTGATTTAGCTTACCAAGTGCATTCAGCACAGAATTTTAAAACTATGCAGCGCATTCGTTCCCAGACAGTCAGGCTCTATGTTCGTGGTGGAGAAGGTAAACCAGGAACAATAGACATGGCTTCATGCATATGGAAAACAGCTGAAGAAAGCCAAGGAGACAACGGAATCTTTTATTTCAGGGTATGGTGGACTGAACTGTTTCTCCTCCCAATTCATATGTTGAAGTCTTATCCCTCAGTATACCCAGTGTGGCTATATTTAGAAGTATGGACTTTCCAGAGATAACTCAGTTTGAATGAGGTATATAGGATACAGACAAGTGTGGAGGGAGGACCATATGAGGACACAGGGGAGAACAACCATCGTAACCACTCAGAGAAGTCTCTTAAGAAATCAGGTTGCTCTGATACTTTGACCTCAGACTTCCAGACTCCAGAACCTTGAGAAAGTGCCGCCTGCTGAAGGTGACCTCGCTGTGGTGCATTTATGGATGCCCTAGACAGTTCACTCAGTAAACCTCAATGAACTCTAATTTAAAATACCCTTTTTGGCCTCTACTCATACTTGAGCCCTAAAATAAATTTGAAAATTCATTCTGCCAGATTCATTATAAGGAGAAATTCAGAATACTGCTGGTAATTCGTGAAAACAGGAAAAAAGAATCTTTCAGAAGCAGGAAGCAGAGGAGGGCTGATGGTTTTCTGCTGGTGGTCAGAGAGAAGTCTTTGCACATTTTGAGCGCTTCACCCTCAGATGGAGGTGGTCATGGACCTTCAGCCTCAGGATGGCAGGGCCTATTCAGTCTGTGGAGGTCCCTGCTTGCTGCAGCACATGAGTTAGGGCACTGGGGAAACTTGTAGAAGCTTTCTAAGTGCATTTATCTAGACATGACCACAAAGATCTAATTAAAAGAAGGAGTCACAGACCTTTTATTAACCCAAACTATTCCAGAAACAGAAGAACATGGAGTTTTAGTCTTCAGATTAATTTGTCAAAGTAGCTATTGAATAAAATATTTACCATAAATACACAAAGGGAAGTCAAAGAACTTGAGGAGCTCTCCGTGGCAGTTAGCCTGAGTTGTACATTAGGATTTTCTGTAGGAATGCAGAAAATTCCCACTGCCTAGGCTTTGCCAGACCCACCAAATCACCATCGCAGTTTTAAAAAGTTGGGGCTGGAGAGATGGCTCAGTGGTTACGAGCACTGACTGCTCTTACAAAGGACCCAGGTTCGATTCCCAGCACCCACATGGTGGCTATGAATCGTCTTTAACTACAGTCCCAGGGGAATCCGAAGCCCTCTTCTGATCTCTGTGTCATTGCAAGACATGGGTGCACTCACATACATGCAGGCGTTACACTCATACACGTAAAATAAAAATAATAAAGAAAATATTTTTAAAAAGCTGGCTTATGGGGCTGAAGAGATGGCTCAGAGGTTGAGGGCACTTACTGCTCTTGCAGAGGATCCGTGTTCAATTCCCAGCACCCACATGGCAGCTATGAATCACCTTTAACTCCAGTTCCAGGGGAATCCGAAGCCCTCTTCTGACCTCTGCAGCATTGCACGACATGGGTGTACTCACATACATGCAGGCAATATACTCATGCACATAAAATAAAAATAATAAATAAAATATTAAAAAAATAAATAAAAAGGCTTATTCTTAGATTTCAATATGCAGTTGTTTGAGAACCTCTCCTTTTTAATATGACATCTGCTCAGCATCTATGATGAACCAGAAAGCACAGGCACATATGCGCTGTCCTCCTGACCATGAAATAGAGAAGCTGCAACCTAATGAAGCGGAGGGAAAAGTGAGAAGGAACCTGGGGTGATGGTGGGGTTGATGGATATGGGAAAGGTTGAAAGGTTTAGAATAAATAAGACATAACTGAGAAAGATCCTTAAGGGCATCTAATAGTTAAAATAAATGAACCCTTCCTTTTAACCGGGCTGCTGGATAATTCAGCAGTTTATATTTCCCTGTTTAGTGATAAGTAATGATTACAATGAGTTTTTGACTTTCAGTTTTCAGTATGGTGATAAAAATATTTTAAGAGGGTTAACGATCCATAATCATTTCTTTGTATTAAATAATTTAAGTATATAATCAATTTAAAATTTATTAGCCTGAATGAGCACCATGTTTCAAAATACCAGTTAGGCATTAATTTTTTTTAATGTATTTTTATTTGATGTGTGTGAGTGTCTTGCCTGCATGTATGTAAGTGCCCTTAGAGGCCAGATGAGGGCATCAAATCCTGGACAATTGTTAGCCGCCATGTGGGTGCTGGAAACCCAACCCAGGTCTTCTGGAAGAGCAGCCAGTGCTGCTAACCACTGAGCCATCTCTCTGACCCCCTAACAGGCATTTTATAGGGTCATTCAAATGTAATCTTTCCTTTGTGCATAAATGGCCTGTGTTAAAGATAACCAGTCTTTCCCCTCTGAACAGTGGAGGGTTTTACACATGTCATTTTGGCACTATGCACACTACGCAAAGAATAATGTTACTTCAGGAGATGAGCCAGGGAGATGTGTCAGGCGGGAGATTTTCTTAATGGACACACAAGCACATTTCAGGATGTGTTTTTCTTACTTTAAATAACATGTAGTGAGTGACATTTGGGAGTTGCTTGTATTTCCATATTTTTTTTTTCTGAAATAACCATGCATAGATGCTACAGATTTTCCTTCTGAAAGTTCAGCCTTAAAATAGCTCATTTTCTTCTGATCCTTGGAAAAGCCAATGGTACGCAGCCACCATCTATCTTGTTATTATCCTGATTGTTGCTACTCCTGTGCACTGCTCTAAGTATCGTACTGATATTATTTTATAAAGTCCCATACAAGCTTGTAGGTATTATTTAAAAGGACACAGAGAAACGCTGACTCCTTTACTCACCCTGTAGGACAGATCTGATAAATGACAGAGTCAAGATTTGGTCAACTTTAAATTTGTATTCCTATTTATACCCTGCTGATATCTTGCTTAGATCGCATAAATATGAGTTAAGTTCTATAGTTTCATTTTCTTTTAATATAAGGGGAAAGGACTTTTGTAAAGCCCCATGCTTTACATGAAAAGAAGACACCTTCTTTTTCCTATATTATTTCTAAGACAGTTCTGGAAGACATACAGCATAGAATATGTTTCAGAAAAACAAGGATCTGGCCAGTTTTAGTTTTTATTGTCTTATTTGTGTCTAGAACAAGAATCAATACATTATAGATGCTGAGTAAATATTTATGTACTAAATGCCAAGTTGAAAAGACTTTGGTCATGAAATTCACCAAGGTTCCATGGAAATTCTTATAGTCATTTTCCAAGGCATTTTCGAAAGTGGAACAGTTATAAATTATTGTCTTTCTTCATTCAAGAAAGAAGTCATCCACCCTTTCTCTTATTTTAATTTGGTCTAGGAAGACGGTAAAGTAGTAGAAACTCAGTAATTTTAACTGGAGATACTGACAGGAACTCCTCATCACTTAATTCAGATCTCAAAGCAAATCTATTCAGTAATTTTATTTTTCCTAATTCATATGAGAAAGCACACACTAAGAGAGGTTCAGTGACTCATCAGGGGCTCCACATCTTGTAAATAATGGAATTATCTTTCAGATTGTATTCATGGGCATGGAAGAGGCCTTGCTTTTTCAAGTGTACCATGTGACCCCCCTGTCTAATAAAGTCATGAAAATCTTATTATGTTAAGGTGTTTGTTTTTTTTTTTTCCCCTGTCTAGACTCGTTAAGTGGCAGAGCGTCTGGGAAGCTGCCTGTTATCTGGTTTACTCATATAACAAATGAACACAGCAAAAATCGATGACTTAGCCATGGCCATCCTGTTGTGTAACAGCAAAATCAGTTCCAGCTTTTTTCTTGTTTGCCTGCTGGGTGCTTTTCCTTTCTTTTTTTGCTTTTTCATACACGAGAACTACCCAAAAGAGATTTTGTAACAGCTTTCAGACTTTGAAAAATATATAGCTTAAAATTTTGTTGTATTGAAGAAAATCAGTAATCATTAAAACAAATATAATTTATTTCAAATACTGGAGTCACCGAGCTCATAGCCCCAAAGAACAATGTCACTGTCATTATCCTTGTCATCAAACACATGACCAGGCTCAGTTTTGTTGGTCTTGTTTTATCTGCTTGTTTGTTTTATTTATTTAGAGATCTCCTTTTTGTTTTTTTACATTTTATTTTAGAAACTGGTATTCAATCAATATGAAAACTGCATAATTTCCTCCTTTAAATTTTAGAATAGAACAAGGTTGTTGGTAAGGCTTTGACTATTCAATATTAAATTGAAGGAAGATCAGA